CTGACTCAGCTCAACCTGAATCAGATATGAAGGATGGCATGACATAAACATTGGGGGGTTCAACAAATAGAACAAACATTAAATTAAAGTTTCAAACTTGTTGGGGGCCGGCTTGTGTCCAATAAAGAAGGTTGAAACATGTTTTATGATGGCTGCCCAATTTACACAGGGCAGAGCATTTTTTGTGATTGGAGAAAAAACATAAAACTAAAGGCGATTTAAGATCATGCTGCTTCCAAAAGCCACCCCAGATTTATTGGAACACAGTTTATTTCCTTCAAATGATGAAACACACTCTCTTTACTTTCCCCATGTTGCCCTTTTCAGGCAGATTCATCATTTCTTTTCTCACTTGATATTTACAGTATATATGAATATCCTCATGTTGGCAACATCATGGCAAGCATGTCAAAGCTCCTTTTGCAGTATAAATCATATATCCATAAATCAACTCAAACATTCACCTCTAAAGCTGCGAATACGGGCACATTATGAAGATATGGCATATTGATTTTTCTGTTTGAGCAGTTGACGGTGCTTACCGAAGCAAACTTTGTATCACATAACACATGCTTCAAGGAGCTGCAGCTGGGGTTTGTATACCCCCCTTTAAATCATAGAGGGATGGAGATTTGGATATGATGTGAGGGAAACCCAGAGGTATACAAACACAAACCTTCACTTGGTTAATGTCTTCCCACGTATGTTTTATTTGATATATTTATGAGATAAGACTGAGTGTAATAAACAAGAAAAGCCCATGGCTATCTTCATTTATCTTTGAGTTCATTTGCTTTGTTCCTCAGTTCATCCTCAGTTGCTGATTATATAATGGGATTATGTCATCATCAAGTACGTAAGAAGATAGAAAATAAGCACTAAAATGGAAATGAATAATCTCAATGTATGTCCGCTTTTGACCCTTTAAAACTGAGAGAAACCTCCATCTACTGGAGGTCACTATCAATTACAGATGAAGATACCGACCCCCACCACAGTCTTTGCCCAGCTGCCCATCAATATTATCTCCGCAGCAAGCCAATTAGTCGTCATCCGCCTTGTTTTGTTGGGTTCACACAGTCAGGCGTCCTCTGATTAGATAAATGATTTGAATAATGGGCCTGTAATCATAGATGCTGATAATTTTGAGTCTTATTTGATCCCTCAAATCAATTCAGGCTGCTGACAATACACCACAGCCTCTAACCATTTTATCATAAAAATTATACAAGTAATCACATAATCAGCTAATGACATTACATCATGCTCTATAGTTTGAAAAGTTATGAATGTTTTATACACTACTGTATCACCATTTCTAATACAATATGTAAGTCCAGGCCGGACTTGTTTCAATCCAAACATTTGACAAATGACTACGGTACTTAATGTTTGCTTTCATTAAACAGGTCAAGCATTGGTCCCATGGGAAACAAGTGAGAGACCGTGATCTTGTCATTGCACCACTCATTATGGTTACTTGATTACAATGTTCTTGTTTTCAAGATCAATAACTCACTAAGAGCTTCCCAACCATGTTTTCCTCGTCAATAGACAAAAAACATGTAATGTAAACAATTCAGCTTGATATTTAAATGGTTGCACCTCTCTAATTTATCAAACTAAACTGTCAGGTTAAATCTCAATATCATCATGATAGGCTAACAGCATACTGCATAGCAATCACCCAGTTAATTGTTAAGCCCTTCCTTAATCTCACAAACTAAGCCATCACTACTTGTTAAAGGGGACAAACATCCTGCATGGTGTTGTTGACACTTTGTTTTATCGTTCAATATGGACAATGACGAGTCATATTCAAACAAGGACCTTTAACTGAAAGTGGATTATTTATGGTCACAGAAAGATAATGAAGGTTAATCAAAGGTTACTTCTTTTAAAAAAAGACAAAATCCATATCCTTATCAGCCATCATTCTGTAATATAGCTGTATCTGTTTATCTGACTGTGTTCATGTGAGTGTGTCAGTAGAAATGTGTGCTACACATACACACTTTCATTCACACTTGTGCTGACCTTAACTGCAAAGCATGGAGCCAAAGCTCTTAAAGTCTTAAAACTGATGGCCTGGATACCCTCATCTCCTGTTCGCTGTGTCAAGTCATTATAGTGCACCAAGTCATTAGCTGATGGTGTAGTCATCCATTACAGCTAAGAGGGAATATAGCAAAAGCAAAGCAGATGATTCCAACTTCAAAATGTCCAGATCATGTGAAGGGCGATTTGTCTTTTGTTTCCCTTGGTGCTCAATATATCTTTGTCACTGTCACACTGTCAGTTCCACAGTGATCAGGGGAGAGTTACACATTTTGGTATGGTAGTTGTAGGTAACATCTGCATACCAAATTTAAAATGTAGACTCCCACTTAATTAACATTACATACATTATGGATATTTGACTTGTTCATGAAGTGCAAATGAGGATTCACAAAAGGCGAAATCTGACAATGTTTTTTAATCGAAATAACATCAGGGCAATAGCTGTCAGGTGTGTTACTGCACCATACGTGTAAATAACCTTGTTTGTGAGTATTGTGAAATCCCTAGTTGCCAACGCAATGTTTGAGGTAAGCTGTCGAGTGTCAGACAGAGTCAGAACAAAGTACAGGGCTGTTAGGTAATTGTGGTTCCTTTGTATAATTCTTGTAATCAAATAGAGAGCATAGTTTCACTAGATGGAGCATGATCATTACCTGATTTTCCCTCTGTTTAAACCTGATCAACTGAAGCCAGATCAAAAATAACAAATACATGTACAAATATCAACTGATAATGTTGAGGACAACAACAAATAAAGTATATACTAACTTTCGAGATTAGTATTAAGTTGGGATTCAGAGAAAAAATACAAATGGACCCTATTACATCTAGTAACATTTTCTCTCTATCTTCTGTGCAGGATACAAAAACATTTGTCAATATGTTGGCATGTGTACCCGCCCGGCATTGTGTAATCCAATAAGATATCGGCACATGTATTCAGTGATTAGAATACAGCCAACCACACAAATATTCACTAAATCTTAGCCTTATTTAATATTTTTTCATCAAGGCTCGGTCAGATAAACAGCTTAACATATTGGTAGTTTAACAGTGAGAAGAAAGCCTGATGTGTTGTTTCATCAATGTGTTTCACCAATGGGTGGGAAATTGTTTTTGTTTTAATGAAATGCTGTCTAATCTCCAAAACCACACTCCAAGGGCAACTCTCCTGCTTTAGAACTTGTTATATTTTACTCTTAGATCCACAAATGAAGTGTTAAGAGTCAAGAATAGATAAGATATGCTGTTTTACACGCAATGCTAATGCAATACTACCAAATCTATCAAAAACATTGACAATGCAGTTAATGGCAGCCCCGGTGACATAGTGGAAGCATCACTCAAAACACCTGAGGTTAGACTTTTAATCAGTTTAGCCCGATTTGTATTACTACGTAATGAGAATGATGGATTAGGATATTTTGTGTAATGCGTCTTTGAATATTTAATAACTGTAAAATGCTCTGAACTATAAATTGTATTATTAATATCATAAGATCTACTTAGAACTATGCAAATTCCTAGCAGCAGCAGCAACCCATATATTAGAAAAAAAGAAGTATATTCTTATTTGTCAAGTTTGAAAGTAATACAAACAACAAGTTATAATCCCTTTGTAAAATAATAGCAACTCATATTGCTTTTTTTGCAAAAAAGACAGTGTAATTTTCAATCAAAATTTATTTTTGGTTTCAATATCTGTCTCTAAACATGATAGTGAGCATGACTTTCCTTACATTTGTATTAACTTTGTTCAAACTTTTTTTTTTTTTAAACACGATAGAGCTTTCATATTTTAAGTTGTGTTTTTAAAAGTTAAGCATCTCTCAGTAAAATGGAATGACCTCAGAGAGGAAACAAGATTGGATGGTTAGACACTTGGCTGATATGAGAAATGTAAGGCACTGTCACAGCTCATTGTCTTTGAAAATTAATCGGAGAACAATGACAAGGCCAGGAGTGATTCCAGAGAAATGCAAAGCAAGGCGAGAGCAGACCTTCAGAGAAGAATATTTATGTTATAGCTTAATGCTAATATTATGTGGCAAGCAATTACATCTGTATTCAGAAAGGATAGCGTGTCCATAATTGACAATGACATAGAATGCCTGGCTACAGGACAGTTTGATCAAATGAAGAATGTCATGCTCTGGTCTTGATTCTCTATATTCTAGCCTTTAAAGTTGGCAAGGCTCAGCAATGAATATCAATAGAGAGAGATTGATTCATAACACAAAATCATATTTGAAAGCATTAGACATACAATGATGAGTACATTTACATTCTACCATCATTATTGAATGTATTACTTTTGTGAAGTTTGTGAATACAGCTGTGATGCAGAATATGATGAATCATAATCATATTATTTCCTCCTGTTTTGTTCTTCAATATGTGGACTTGTTCATACATATGCAAATAGTTCTCTGTTTAATGGGTGGAACTAACATAGTGCATCCTTTTTTTTCATTGGGTGAATAATATTTAGCAAATTTGAAATTAGAAAACTGCTTTCTCACAGCAACGTCAAAGGGGCAGACGTTATATGGCCCAATTCATTATAGTCAGTTGAGGAGAGGGGAGGGAGAGTGAGAGAGAGAAAGAGAGAGAAAGGAAGAGAGAGAGAGAGAGAGAGAGAGAGAGAGAGAGAGAGAGAGAGAGAGAGAGAGAGAGAGAGAGAGAGACCTCATCTTCTGGGGGGGGTCATTAAAGCTCCTGGTTTAAGCCCAGCCCATTCTGAATATGTAAATGTCTCAGGCAAAAAAAAAAAAAAGCACAGCAAGAGGAAAGCAACGAGGGAAGAGTGGAGAGAGAGAGAGCGAGAGAGGAAGGGGAGGGGAGCAGCATGAAAAAGTGAGTGAGCGATCAAGGGAAAAGAGAGCAAGAGAGCGAGGGAAAGAGAGCGAGCACTCTGAATTGTGAGTGGCTTACGACACTCAGTGAACAGAAGGTGCTTCTGCATGCGCTGTCAGTGTACGGCTCTGCTGCAAGGGATTGCGCGCTCCTTCGCTTCCCACATTTACCGCCCCTGCCTGCCGACCAGCACCAGCCCTCATTCAGCCGGCTGGGAAAACACCCGGAGAAAGTGCATGACAACTGGAAGCCACGAGGGATGCAAGCGGCTTTTTAACGGAGATCAGCCACTGAGATGACAAGGAATACTGTTACACAAGACAACAGTGAACAGGGTTCACCTCTTTAAAACCTGTTTTCTTTTTTCTTCCTGCCTTCGTCACTGAAAGCATGATTACCCGCTTGAATGGATTGAAACCTTACAAGGCAGTGACTGCTCCCAGAGATGGACGATAATATCTGTTGACAGATCGTCTGAAACTTAAACAGGAAGGGGAGGAGAAAAGAGCAAGGCAGATATTTAAAAAGATTTTTCCTTGGTCATTTTTTTTTCTCCTACTGGTTGTCTCTTCTTCCCTCTGATCATTGCAGCAGAGGACTGCGGAGGAGCCAAAGAGACAGAGCTCATGCATGCAGACAGGGGAACTTGCACTTCCTACCATCTAGCTGAAAGCTACTTGGATTCGTTCTCTTTCTGGCTCTTTCACTTGAGGAGAACTAAGACATTGTAAGCCTGCCAAGGATCTGGTGTCCACTGAAAAGAGAGAAGGGAGGGGGGGGAGAATTTGTACCACAGTGGGGTCTTTTTTAGATTCGCACATAATTAGTGTTGGGGCACAAAGCGAGTCGCTGAATGGAGATTGTCAGCTTTTGGATAGGGGTGAGTAGGAATCTTTTCAAATAAGATCGATCAATGAGGAAACATTTTTTTCATCTCCTCTACTCTCCACCCACTGCTTGATATCTAACATAAGCAAAGAGACTTGCCTTTTATCTTTTTCATTTTTGACTTATAAATCTAGTCACAGATTAATTACAAAATCGGAACGAAGAAGATTATTATTAAATATGATGTGATAAATATGATGTAATAGGTGCACAAAACAATATCCAGAGTGGATCAATGGACATTTTCTCAGAGACATCCCTGGATATTTATGCTAATGGATTTCCTTTTAATTGGACTGTACTTAAAGTGGCCACTGAAGAAGCCCCCTGGGTTGATTCTGTGTGTATTGGGAATTTTTCTCAGAACGGTTCCCTTGGTGGAGGGGGTTTGTCCAAGGCTGTGCCGCTGCGACAGCAAGCTGCTGTATTGCGAGGGGCTCAACCTCACAGACATTCCCCGCAATCTGAGCAGTGCCATGGGCCTGTCCATGAGAGAAAACAACCTGACAGAGCTGCGTGAAGGCCAAATGGTAGGTCTGTCACAGCTCACCTGGCTCTACCTAGATCACAACAACATTGACATTGTAGAGGAGGGTGCATTTGACAGGCTAAGACGGGTCAAGGAGTTAGACCTCAGCAGCAACCGAATTGAGATTCTGCCAAATGGTACCTTCAGGCCCCTCCCAAACCTACGCATCCTGGACCTGTCGTACAACAGGCTGCAGGCACTAGAGCCTGACCTGTTCCATGGCCTTAGAAAGCTCACCAACCTGCATTTGCGCTACAATGCTCTCAAGTTTGTGCCAGTGCGGATTTTCCAAGATTGCCGGAGCATGCAGTTTCTGGACTTGGGATACAACCAACTGCAGAGTCTGGCAAGAAACTCCTTCGCTGGCCTCTTCAAGTTGACTGAGTTGCATCTTGAGCACAATGAGCTGGTCAAGGTCAACCTTGCCCATTTCCCTCGCCTCATCTCTTTACGCACTCTGTACATGCACAATAATCGTGCCACAGTTGTTGTCAATACACTGGACTGGACATGGCATTTTCTAGAGAAGATTGACCTGTCAGCCAATGAAATCGACTACATGGAGCCACATGTGTTTGAGAGCGCGCCCAACCTCAAGGTGTTGATGCTGGACTCCAATCAGTTGACCTCTGTGGACCAGCGCATCCTGGATTCCTGGTCATCTCTGGACAGCATTACCCTGGCAGGGAATGACTGGGAGTGCAGTCGCAACGTGTGTGCCTTGGCCTCTTGGCTGAGTGCCTTCCGAGGCCAGCGTGACAATTCCCTGCTGTGTTCAAGCCCCGACACCGCACAGGGGGAGGACGTGTTGGATGCTGTCTATGCTTTTCAGCTATGTGAGAATTCCCCAATGGAGGTAACTACAGCAGGCCTGTACCCCTCTACAAGGGATCTGGCCCAGGGTGGATCTGTTTTCCTGGGCCCATTTACTCCCAACCCTTATGATGGTGAGGGTAGTGAGGTGGTCACCAGTTCTTTCACTGTCACAGTGGGCCATGATGACCTGGAGAGCACCATGCAGATCCACAAGGTTGTGACTGGAACCATGGCACTCATCTTTTCCTTTCTCATCATTGTGCTCATGCTGTATGTGGCATGGAAGTGCTTTCCAGCCGGAATAAGACAACTGAGGCAATGCTTTAGCAGCCAGCGTCGTAAGCAGAAGCAAAAGCAAAGCATGCAGCAGATGGCTGCAATTTCTACGCCAGAGTACTATGTTGACTATAAACCTAACCACATTGAGGGAGCTTTGGTAATCATCAATGAATATGGCTCGTGCACTTGCCAACAGCAACCTTCTCGGGAATGTGAGGTGTGAACCTGCTTTGTGAGTACGTCTTTACCTGTCGGTCGTCTGGATATACAGTAAACCCTGTTTGGATACACTGGGGAGGGGGATATTGCGGGACAGAAGGAATATGGATCTTTTTGGACACTTTTTACACAGCGTCTCACTGTGATGTGGAAGAAGTGTGCTTTATGCGGCTGACTATTTTGTTGTGGATTTACTGCTACTGCTATCTACTGCTGATTTTAGGCCGCTGGGCATGATGGCTACATGACTCTTTGAACTGTTGATATTCTACAGAAACACAGAGAGGAATACATTGTGGACACTAAGGATTTTCTTTCACGATTTGAGCTTTAATGTGTCTTTCTACTTCAGGACATTTAATTATTGTTTAAAAATAAACTGGGGACACACACAAGAAAAAAAAGAAAAGATAAAAACCATTTGTACTATGGTAAACACAATATTTGACAAGCATATAAAATATACAAAAAAAATGTTTAAGTTGGATTACAAATGTAAAAATAAAACTATGTGTAAAATATGTTAAAAGAAGAAGTGCAAGTGTGGAAAAAATGATTCAAGGTAATCTATTTCTTTTGTAAACTACAAAAAATGTTTAAATAAATGAATTGCTATTCACAGTAAACTCATTTGTAGCCTGTGAGAAGCCTGTCAGAAGGGATGAATGACAATAGACGCAGTCTTTGTGCTTATGGACTGGAGAGCCATGTCTCTGCAGTGTGTTGAACCAAAAAAAGAAACGGGGAAAACGGGGCAGAGGGATATCTGCATCTCATCTCTAATGTAAAATCCATAGTCTGAATTTTATATCTCTTCTATGTTTTAACTCTCATAATTGTTGTTTTATCATTCACTGTGTTGGCCTGCTATCAGTGTAGTTTATTTCCCCTTCCCATTGCCTATGTGCGGATAGAATCAAATGATCTACATTTCTATCTGGTAGCATATTTCCATATTATTACATCACTATTTGTGCACCATCCAAGTAAAGAAAGCATTGTGTCAAAGATCTAAAGCTATGCCTCTCATTGCTTCTGCCACTTTGGCTTTCACAGAGGAGTGATGCCTCCTTTCACTGAATCAAGCACACTAAAGGCAATGATCATCAAAACCATGCATTTTCAAATCAAATTACAATTTAAAATTGTATCTGAATCATTGAAGAAAATTATCCAGCAGCTTAAAGGAAGATTTGCACATACAATATTCTTCACTGTGTTTTCATGTGATGTAAAATGTTTGTTCAATACAAGGCCATTTTGAGGTGTATATATATCCTTCTTCCTCTGGTGTTCATTGTGTAAATTAGTGCACTGACAGATGTTGTGTTTCCTGGGTCCTTTGACATGAACAGTATGTTGTGTGAGGAGGGGGGAAGTGAGAGGGAGATGGAGAATCACACCGGCTGCAGAAAGAGGGAACAGACTGCTCTCTAGTGTGCATATTCTCATACTGTGGCTGCATTGTACCTATTGAGCACCATATTCTGCACATCTCCACGGCGGGGGCAACAGCAGTATACTGAATTTGCAGCACCTTTTGGGAAAATATATCAATGCATCAATTTGCCACATTTTTGTGTTATTTTGCGATAAATTAAGATAATGTTTACAACTTGTCAGCAGGAATAAAAATGTTTTAAGAACTCAATGACAATCATTATATAATTAGTTCCGGTAAGAGCAAAACTTTCAAAATCATCAACAACATTGTGGATACCGTAGGTGTTGTGGGGATCATTTGGACAATATGCAACAAAGGTTCAGAAAAACAGGTAAGAAATGTTCTCATAAGGTTAGCTATGGAATAGTGCTGAGGGATGAGCTGGCTGTGGGTATAACCTGGGAGGAAGCACTACCTGAGAAGAAGCGCAAGTCCCTGAGGCGATCATGTGTTTGGCAAATGTTTTGCCTTGGGTCAGGATACATTTTATCCGTACATATTTAATAATGAGTGGTTCAAAAATGCAATATGTTAAGCTCAAAATGTCAGTGGTTGGTAAAACCTACAAACATGTTAACAGTATTTAATGGAAACATTTCAGGGAGGGGACAAGATAGCTAGATCTCAAAAATAGTAAATTAAATGTGTAATAATTATTGTTAGGACAAGATTGTGAAGTCTTTCAAGGAACCGACTACAGGATATATATATAAAATGACCTTATTTTCCTCAAAAACTTCATGAGTTTATTCTAAAATCCTACCACATTCTGATCATCCTTATTCATTTAAACCTATGCTGATAATTCAGTTGTTTGCATTCTAATGCCCCAAATTATACAACGTATTCCCTTCCTCAATACATATAAGCTGTAGTAAACATGCAATTTGAGTTTTTGGTTTCACTAATCGATACCAAATGTCGCTAGATGTTTAGTTTTTGATTTTAAACAGCATTGTGTGACAGTAACGTAACCCTGTATCAGTAAATAACATCCAACCAATGTCTGAGGAACATTTAGAATACAAAATAAAGCTACAAAATGACCAACAAATCCACAATGTACTTCTACATTATTTGGCTTTTAATAGTTTGGTTATCTCGAGTGAAAGACTAAATCATTCGTATGTAGTGCTCAAGTAACAAAAGCGCTCACTCGTTTTTTTAGGGAAGACATTTTGGTTAGTGATAATAGCTTAAAGTTGGCATTTGGGATTTACGATCCATTTCTTATTTATGGTTCCAAGGGCGTTCTACTTTAAGACTCAAGATAGCTGTTAATCATGAACTGCCATATCATGTGAATGCAATGACTGCAGTATGTATGCCAGGGAAACATGACGGGGACACACATTTATTTTCTTCTCCCATTTGCAAATCCTGTCTAAAACAGTTGAGTCCTCCGAGTCCTTCACAACTCCTTAAACATGCAAAAACACTGCTGGGTAAATGTGAGGTTGTGAAGCTTCATTTGTATAAATATTGGATGATGCCTGGCAGACAGGCCAGCACTGGCACCACTATTGATTTCATTTCACTCCTTTCTTGCACAAGCAACAAGGGCGAAAAGTGAGTCTGAATATTTTAAATGCTCCGAGTCCTGAGGGCTGACGTTAAACCACTTATCTGTATTCCGATTCACCTTTAACTCCGTTCTTCCTCTTGCGCTCGGTGCCCATAAAACACAGTAAATGTGGAGAAAAACATCAATTCATCTTACTGACAATAGATCAAATCTCTGCCTGACCTAAGCCTTGGGTGATAATTCCCTGAGGGAAGATGTGTGCTCTCAGACAACATCCATTACAAATGCCTTGATTGATGATGCTCAGTAAAAATCAATAAAGATGAGTAGTAACCAAAATGATCGTAGTGATAACAAATGTATTTATCTCTCCCTCACATTTTCAAGCGTATACTGATGGATGAGGTTGATATATTTTATTTATATGTAAATCCAGAATTGATTTAGAAGATGATAAGTGGTTGACATGGTGATTTGCGAGTGTCTTACACAAATCAGATCACTGTTCTATCAGTAAGAGGGAGAGAACCATTCTCTAAGAGCAGTACAGCAGGAAAGCGTGACATGTGTTCTGCACTTTGCAGAGCCGCAGCTGTCTGACAGCCGGAGGATATACGGCGTTGTATGAAATTTGCACATGCTAGTAGGTTTGAAGCTATTGGTTTGTAGCTTACAGTATGTGTGCACAACTGAGCATGTGGTGTATGTGAACATTCACACTGTACACATGGCTGGTTGTAATTAAGCCCAACGGATCTAAAAAGCATTTGATCTCCATGACTACATTGTTATGAGGGCAATTATGAGATGAGAGGTCGCCATAGAAAGATGGATGTAAAGGTAGACTTACTGACACAAAGAGTAAAGGTCACAACAATGAAATGAGAACAATTCAGAGGGGGAGATGTGAGCCACAAGTGGGGCATGCTTTACATGAGGTGTGGATCTTTCTAAAGGTCAAACACTCACAATGGAGAGACCCTACAGACTCAAACTATACAAGTAGTATATGTCTAAGATCCCCCTGAAACACCTCACTATCAATCGGCCAGCACTCACAACTAACATTGTCAGATTATTGAACCGTGTTCAAACAGCTAATTGATAAATAAAACAGCACAATTGCAACTGTATAACATAACAATAGAAAAAGGGTCAACTAAAATGCTCTAAGCACCGTGCCTGCATGTACACTATTGCCTGAAAAGTGTGTGAGTCAGTGACAATACATCACTCTGCAGATCTCTGGGAAACAGCTTGCATCACAACCTGCAGTGAGCTGAGCCCTTAGAGACCCAAACAAATCCTTAAAAAATAAATTAACCTGGCTTCCTGTGAGGGGTATTGATCGGGCAACATTCTGCCATCTCATTGGGACTAGGACTGTGCTGCATAATAAACGCTTAACACCCCCTCATAACTGGATGGAGAGCTAAATCATGGGTGGCAGCATGTACTGCAGTAAGCTGAAAGGAGCTGGTGATGACTAATGACAATGAGTGGGTGGCTTTCACTGCTTCTTTTATAACAGGTGGGTTATCAGGATCAATATTCTAATCATCATCAACATTATCTTTGAAACCAAAACCTCTGACACAACATTTTCTCGCTGGTTGTACATTCCATTCTCTTGCTCCTCCCAGATGCTGTTAATGTTGTTGTTTTAAATGATTTCACTGCACCACATTCAACGACAGCCACTGCCATTCCTGGCATAATATACATATACATGCAAGCTAGTGAAAGAGGGAAAAACATGGAATTTTCTCCTAAACATTACAGATCTCCTTTTGAATAATATACTGTATGTACAACTAAGGGAAGCTTATAGTTTGCTACTATACCCTCCCTTCATAAAACATGTAATAACTTTAATAAATACAGGGGTCCAATATGGCACTATACATTCATTACCCAGACTATCAGTGCAGGTAACCTATAGCTCTCTAAACCCACTACCTCATTTACATTCACAATACCGGGCATCACTGAATTAATAATAACAATGATGGGGTCATTATTATGGTCTACATTCAGAACTGTAAGATAGAGCAGCCTTGTATGCTGAGGAGAGTGAAACTGGTTAGATAATGGGGGCAAGGTTGGTGGCTGAATATTCATTGTAGTGAGACAGAGTGTGAGATGAACACAAGTAGCCATCATTATTATTATTATTATTATGAACATTATTATAATTAAAATTATTACAACTATTATTATTATTGTTGTACTTATACTAGTTGTATTGGTTACATTATATTTTGAGTGTTTGTGTTTTTGTGTCATCTGTCTTGCTATTGCTAAGTTGGATTAGCCCACTTTTGTATTGCACTTAACATTAAACATCAGGGTCAGTCAGTGAGATAATACATGGCACCAGCTGTGCCTGCATCTCAGGCTCCCTGCTAAGGGTATAAGAGCAGATGTGGGTCAATGCCTAATTTCCAGCATTATGTATTAGTATTATGGTGGCTGGAATACAAAGCTTTATCCTTAACCGGAGATCAGATTTTCTATTTATGTATTATGTTTTTCATACCTTTACAGATAGACCTTGGCGATGAGATTTAAAAGGAATCCAAGATAAATCAGGCCAACATGACATAACAAATGCATGCTTTTGTTTACACCTCAGGTCTTTATAGTTCTTGTATTTTTGAATCCAGTTATATTGCTCATGTGTCAATAGGTATATCAAGATGTCTAAAGGCAAGTATTATTACACATACACAAGACAAAGAGCCCTCCTAAAATGCATGGATGTGATTCCAACAAATATGTACTGAGGCATATTAGACTATTCTGTGTAGAATACAAACTCCTTGCACTAACACTGTTCTTATTGTATATGCTTGAGGAACTATGTGTTGCAGCTTAGTCCAGCACAATAAGGAAATAGGGTAATGGTGATGGGGAAATAGGATACAAGTATCAGAAACAAACTATATAAATGAGCGTGCCCAGATAGCAAATGGGCTCATTAAAATGTATCAAACTATATCCATCTGCAAGTTTATTTTTAGTGCACCTTTGAATGTACACAGCCAGTCAAAATAAATTGGAAAAAAGTATGTAAATTGATTCAAGGCACATTTTTCTCATGTGGCTGTAAGAAGAAAATAAGATTATAAAGTGTGACGATAAGAAATACAAATAGGTCATTTTATATACTGTACATTAAACAGCACCGTATGGATGCTTGAATTAACTTTGCTAGATGTGGGCACTAGTGGCTTTGGAAGGGAAATTAATAAGAAATTAAAACTGGGGACTGATTTCAAAACAAAGCCTTGTAGTCCTCTCAGTTGATTACTGCAAAGTCCTTAACTCAACAGACAGACATCAGCTTAACTTCTCAGCATTAATGCTACATGAGTCATCAGGACAACCACATTATGTTCCATTCATCATCTTCAGATCACTTCAAATGAAACTGAATCCAAAACAACACTTTGATTAAGTGTTTCAAAGGAACAGCACGGAACGTCTGTAGGAGCTTCTTTTGAATATAAAGTGAACACAGGTTAAGTGAAGTAAAAATAGACAGCATTTATCATTTCCCATTTATCTGATCAGTGTCAGGATGAATAAATGCTATTGTACCCGCTCTCCTTGCTCCCTCTCTCGTCCCTATCTGAGGGTAGATTGGCATCTCTCCAGTAGCCAATGAGATGGGCTGTAT